ATCGTTTTTTGTAAACCTACATAATGCATATGGTTTATCATACACTTGAAGCCAGCTCAATCTCCCCGTTGTTATATGCCTAACTCATAGGTAAATGTATTAGACCAGTTACTGGGGTGGTGTTGAAGGTGGAAGGTTAGAAAGACTATCGATTTGTTTCGATTTCTTTTGTCCATCGAAATCTGTCATCTGTGTTGACATGAGGTAGTGTAGACTGTCTGGTTAAGGGGTCCTTGAGAAGTTAATTGATGGTGGAGGCAGCAAGAATGTTGGTGACATGCATGACTCATAATTGCTTTCAATTTTTCTGATTCATATAATCCGTGTAATCTTGTATATTTATTAAATTCCTTATTGTAATTACTCTTTCACCCACATACTAAAATCGTTTATTCTACTTGTATTGTATTTCTCACCCCCACCCACACAGACACATTTAGTGTGCACTTTTTTCGATGAAGTATAATAACTGTAATTGCTGTATACTTTTGTATAGCAAAGTTCTATTTCTAACTTTCACTTGAGAACAGTTGAAATGAGCTGAGTTCATCCGCCTACATCATTTTCGCACGTGATATATGTGAATTGGATTTGAACATCAATCAACATACCATTGTTGTCTGTGGCGTGCATATAATTTTTTTCCAAAGAAAAGGCTAATCTATGGTCTGAATACCAGATAAACGAAGGGAATTAACGCAGAATTTATGAATTTATGTGTTGGACATTAGGTTAGGGCATCCATAGTGTTTGAATATGTTTCTTTTGCACACAGAGATCCAGTTTTTTTTAGGCAAATTGTACTGATCTCTTTTGTCTGGAGTGTTTGATATCTGAAGGCCTTTTGTAATTTATTCGATACTTGATAGACGACAGAGATGAACTCTTCAGTGTTATTCTAGTTACCTGTTTTTGAACGAATTGACGTAATGCAGAACTGTTGATGGTTTTAACGAGCCTTTCATTTAGCCAAACCGGTAGGCGTTCCCTAGTTCGAATAATTAAGTTCCTCGAGGAGCATGGAGTCTTTATCATTTTTTTATATAGGACAGGAATAAAGTGTATATATTGACTGGTTCAAGTCATTTTCGCACGTGACAAAGGTATCGCCCACATTTTGGCAATAGAATACTATAAAAGGGACCATTTTCTAGTTTAACCAGGAAGAAATCTGTTAAAATGGGACCCAATGGAGAGCCCACTGCCACACTACCAACCTTTTTATAGAGTTCGTTATTTATTTTAAAACTCATATTTACAATGTAACTGTAGAAGACAAATAACCTAACAGTCTATCTGGTATCTCTATAAAGCGAAATCATGTACATCGTATCTTCAAATCATCATTTTGCATAGATCTCCCCGTGTTGTGCTACTTTTGGACTTCATATTGTGTTTCTTTGTGTTAATTTTACGTGTCTCATATGTCTCCGCAACGATTTTCTCCAACGTCAGATCTATCTCCCTGTTACTTGATGTTTATAAGCCAGTGAGCCTCTATTCATATACCACTGGTAAACCTTATTAATAGTACAGGCCAAAGTAGCACACTTCAGTGACAATTCTTTGGAGATTTCCACTGGGATCCCAATATTTTATGACTTGTTATATCTTTGTTGACACATATAACGAACCATTTCAATCAGTGCCACATTTGTAAATAGAGATACCACGTCCATATATTTATCGTATCTTTATTTATGGACGATAATTTAGCTTTTATCAAAGAAAGTATATGATTTAAGCGTTTTTAAAAATTCTTTCTCTAATCCTGAACATTGTCACTAATCGATATCATCTGGCGAACGATTGATAATTTAACAGTACTACGTGGTTATCTCGTTCTATTCTTAAACTCTTCAGATGATAGTGGCCTGTGACAATCTCTTGAAGGCTTTAAACTTGAAATCTTCAGGCAACGAAAATTAGGGACATTGGGAATCGATGATTATGCAAACTCTAAATTTAGCTTTTGTCATTTTGATTTCATAGATGAATATCGATGATCATAATTGTGTTATTGTAAAGCACATTGGTATTGCCTGTGGGAATTGTTTACTTGACGAAATGAAGGGCGTACAATGAAAATTATTCATATTCTGTCCTTACTGATCTCCCTTGGATGTTTTCTATATTGTTGCATTCTTTCAGCCTATTCCATCCATCGCTGAGCTATTCCAGGCGGCCTGCTTAAAACCTGAACAACCAAAGAACCTTCACCAATATATATTGCGTATACTTCCTCTTATTCGCTTTGTTTAAAACTGATAAAATATGACCTTGAACAACATGGTTTACACTGGCGGGTATTTAAAACACCTACAACCTGCCGGTTCGCAAGTTTCTAATAAACATGTGATGCAAAAGCATTAGCCTCGATGGAACCTTATCCCAGTACATGAGATAACTGTTCCTCAGTAGGGTACTTAGTTCACAAAATGTTCTCCTGAACCTTTTAGAATTAGTATTCAACCAAATATCGTCGTGTATTTCTATAGGGAGCAAAAGAGGATCACACAGAACTATGTCACATGATTGACCTACTGTCAACCAGCATTCTAATAGGAAAATACTTCTCTACTACCAAGGGGTGCCGCCGACAATTATACATCTCATCCAACAGTTGTATGACAGTGTTGCATGCCAAGTAATCCACAACAGGAAACTTATGGAATCCTTCGAAGTAAAGATGGGAGTAAGACAAGCTGGTTGCCTACTATCCCCAATGATATTCTTGATTTTAAGCGGTAGATTGGATAATGCGACAGACAGTAGGCCAGGCAACGAGGAGACAGGTATAAAATGAACCCACACAAAACCTTGGAGGATCTAGACTTCACCGATGATATATGTCTGATTTCCTACAAACATTGGAAGATATGCAAGTGAAAAGCAACAAGTTGGCAGAAGAAGCATCCAGAGAAGATAGAACTTCAGGTGAACATAGAGAAAACAGAGGTAGGTGATGAAGATTCCAGGCCAACACCATCATCAGCAGCAGCAACAACAACAGACAACAGGCAGCATAAATTGGAGGAACCTGAAGGAAACAACCTCCTCTGCCTACCGACCTGGGAAGCATCGTTTCAACTACAGGCGGATGGAACTGATGAGGATATCAAAGTGAGGATTTGGAAAACAAGGCGGGCTTTCATTTCTCTCCAGTCAATGTGGAAGTCAACAGCACTCAGCATGAAAAATAAAATTCTGGTTTTCAGCTTCCATGTGAATTTAGTGATCAGAGACTTGGCGCCGGGTGACGAAGGGCACTTCGAACAAACTACAGACCTTCATCAACAGTTGTCTTCGCTCAGTACTCAAGATCAGATGACCGACCGGAAAAGATCAGCAACAGGGATCTCTGGGAGCGAACCAACACAGCAGGAACCGATTGTGCAGCAAGTCTCCGGGAAGAAATGGAGATGGATTGGCCATTTTCTGAGGAAACCATCAAGTGACATCACTAGACAGGCTATCGCTCGAGTGGAACCCGAAAGGGAAGCGGTGAGTTGGTCATCGGTGCGAGATTGACGTGGAAGGAGTCATGTGAAGAGGAAATGAAAGCATGCGGGCAGACGTGGAGCCAGATGAAAACTCTAACAGAGAACCGAACGCAAAGAAGACGCGCGGCTGAAGCCCTATGTTCCTCTAGTAATTAAAAGAAATAATAATATAATAAATAATAATAATTAATGACATATATATATTATCTCCAAGTAAATACATGAATCATGAAGGCAACATTTACATGTAACCGGTATTACAATCTACTCTGTGTTTCTTGTTAAAAAAAACTGTCCACTTTATTACGTAATGTACTATACTCCCATTACTACTTGCTAGTTTGTAAAAAAAGAAATGCTAAAATGAAGAGTAAGCGGTAATCAGTAAAATAAAAATGAAAAGTGTGTATGTATATAAAGTACAATGAACAAAAAGTCGAAGAAAAAACAAAAAAAAATTAATTTTGGTAATCACCTGATAATTGTTGAAGATAAAGTTACTTATTAAGTCATCAGTCAGCTGACAAAATAACCGGGTATCATTTCGGAAGATTTAAACAAAGAGTTTACGAGGAGTATCTTTTTTTTCTGTGCTTTACTTGAATAAACATAATAACAGTAGTGAAAGTGTGGTTCCAGAGATAATGAGCTTTTATAGTTGATATTTTTAAACCATTGGACAAAAATCTGTTTGTTTAAATCGTGTAAATACTGTTCACTATAGTATTTAAAAATAGGGCGGACAATTCAAATTTACTGTATGCTATAGTGTTGAATGAATCGATTGATTTTGTAGAACTGCCTGCTTGAATTTAAAAAGTTACGATGAAACCATGAGGTTCTTAAAAATGAAATGAAGTGAATACAAGTCGTGATGAACGACACACACACAAACACGCACACAGATACACCGAGTCATCAATGTAGGAATTCAAGAGATGAGTGGACAATGAAGAAAGTGAAACTTTGTACACAGAGGGAGAAGGGGAGGCGGACGGGACAGCTTGCTTGTTCCTAGTACCAAGAATAATATTTTGTCGATAATTTATTTTATAATAATAGTAATATAAATGTATTAGAAAGCGACCCTTAATTGAGGAATATATGCGTAAATATGGTTTTCGGATGATCGTTTAAGGAGAGAGGAAGAAATCATTTTTGGACCATATGTTGCATTTACAGTGATTACTTATGTTTACATACTCATCTATGCCTCTGTATGCAATATGGTATGTGGCAAATTGACTTAGTTTCAGAAAATGGAGGGTAGCAAGGAAGAAGAGCCGGCCCATTGAGTCAACAATTATAGCATACGATATAATACAATGCATCTATTTATTTCATTTTTGATGAGATTAAAAAAAGGGAGAACCTCATAAATGTAATAAAGTTGACAAATTTATACGACTGACGAGGCTCTGATACATACGAAACAGCTTCCACCGTCTGTCACCTCTCCCCCCAAACCCTTACCCTCCTTTCACAATGCCTTGATAGTCATCGTGTTAAACGTAATAAAGAGTTAGGAAATGTTTCTTTAAGAAAATTTACACATTGTCCTAGTTTTCTTTCATTCATTGCATATATATGACATTGATATTTAATTTTTCCACGTTGTATAATACCAGCACCACCGCCGGTAGTGGCATTTGTAGAAGATAAACGTTCTGGTCTATTGAATGGTCCACTGATTTGAATTTCACAATTATTTTTTGTTGCAATCGCTTTAATTCTACGATCTGATGTATTTAAATAACTCTTGACTAGGTCATCATATGGACTTAATTCAAATATTTCTTGATGCCGGGTATCCACGTCATTAAGACGTGTCGAGGATTTGTCTTTACTGTTGTCAGAAGGTCTGTTCAACTTTATGTTAGATAAAGTTGAGGTTAAAGTTTGTGGTATTGGCTTTTTTGAAAGTTTATTATTCTGTGAAGTATACGATAAACGTTTACATGTATTACTTATATTAGCGCCAGGAGTAGTATTATTCGTCACTGTCGTTTCACTCGTTTGTTGTTTAGTCAACTTGAGTACTGGGGGTTTACGATTCACGCTTTTGTAGGTATCATGACGATTTAATGAATTGATTGTTCTTACAGGCGTATTACCTAACTCTTTAATATTAACACACTTTGGATTTGTTGGATTTGTGTTATCCATATGAATTCTCTCCAGGGAATAGGAACGATTAATTATCGATTTATCAAAAGTTGTTCTTCCCTTTGTTGTTGTTGTTGTCGTTGAATCCTTTCCTCTCTCTGGTATTGCCAACACAGTTGATCTACACTGAGTAAGTATATTCTGTGGTTGGATCTCTTTGTATATCCACTTAGTATTGTTGTATAGCTCATTTATATTAAGAATATTTTCACTATTTGATCGTAAAATATTACTCAACTGATGCGGTGAAATACATCCTTGATTTTTCCTCTCCTCACTTGATGAATAGTATTTCTCTAGACTATTTGATTGTACAGCTCTGCCGACACGATTTTCTACAAACATGCCTCTCTGTCTTTGACGTTCATTACTTTCTGAAATAGGGAACATTTGCTTAGAAGTGGTGAGTCTTTTAGACATTCTGGTTGATGATAAAGATTCTGATGAGGATGAGGATGTTGATGTTGATGTATTCTTTGATGTATACAAATGTCTATCCCCATCGCCGTCATCATGAAATCTCGATACTTGACATTCTGAACAAGTACATGATGAATTGTAATCCTTACAGTCATTGCATTGAAGCAAAGATTCTTTCGTACATTTCGACATATTGGACTTCATACTTACTGGGTTTCTTTTCAGTGAATAAGCCATTTGTTCAACCAGCCATTTATGTAAGATATCATATTTATCATTTTGATCGATCATTTGAAATAGATTATTAATTTGTGAAGTTGTTAGATCGTATTTCCCCTCAGATGACTGTTTCTCTTTTTCTCCGCGTCCCTTTGAATTGACCGCCTTACTATCAGAAGCAATTGAACATGAACCTTTGTTTATGACATCATTATCATCGTGTCGCGGACGCGTATGCTTCTTACAACTAGTTTGACATTTATTCAAACATCTTTCAGCTTCAGCATCATGTGTAGACTTAATATTCGACGGTAGATGACGTGACTCTGATGACGATGATGATGAGGATGAGGACGATGTCGACGCCGGATTCTTTTCACACCGTGAACAACACACTGAAGAGGTTGATTTTTCAGAGTGAATATTTTCCACAGATCTGGTACATTTCCCTTTCATTTGATCCATACTAATATTGTTCCCATGACAAGAGACTTCACAAACATTATCATATGAAATTGACTTTTTGCCCTCAGAATTCCTCGATTTCACTGCATTTCTGACTTGATGACATCTACTGCATACACAAGTTTTACTTTCTGTAAGTGTATCTAATGAATTTTGTGAATCACACTTCACTAATTCCTTATCATCCTGATTATGTAAGTGATTTTCATCAGGATGACAAGTTCGATTCGGCGTTTTTTTAATTGACAATGAAAGATAAACACTCTGTTGTTCTATGGTTTCATTGTGTTCAAGATCTTTAGATTTTGGAGTTGTTGTGCCTTCAACAAATACCACTCTGTCGTAATAACCGCTTTCATTATGTTGTACTCCAATAACTTCATTGTTCGGTTGTTTGAGTATTGTTTGATCAAGGTGACTGATCAGTGTGTTCTTTTCACTTCTACATGAAGGATATGTCTGACATACAGATAATTCAAATGGTGATTTCAGACCAGAGTGTTGTGGAGCGAATTTATGCCTTTTTTGTCCATCTAAACTATCACCCATACCTTTGTCAATTGTAGGCGTATTCAACTGTTTTTTAGGGTGTACTAGGCGTTTCATATTTTGTCGTATAATACTATAGACACTTTTATTTGCTTCTGGTTGTAGACATGAGTGAGAATGTCTGTTCCAAAAGCTGAAGGAGTTTTTTGTTTTGTTATTGTATATACTACTTCTACTTCTACTACTACCGCTGTGTATACTACTATTATCAAACATGCTGTAGGCGCTTTGATGAAGCATTCTAGGTATATAGGAATTTGTCGTTGTTATGTTGGTTTTTTGTGTTAGACAGGTGAAATTTGTTGAATTGTTAGTCAATGGTATAGTGGAATTACCTCCAAGACATCGTGGTTGCGTGGAATCGCCTTTCATTCGATGTTCAAATTCTTTTGTCAGATATTGAAAACCAGTTGGCAATGGTAATTTCGGCAGTTTATCAACATTTTCCAGTGACACTGAACTTTCTATCAACTGACAAGAGGGAGGTTTCAACTCCTAGAGGAAGGGAACCAAAAGAAAAATAACTCAGAATAGTTGGTCGATAAAATATTTGTGTCATCGCAAGCTAAAGGTTTTCGGTCTCATGCCTTCATGGTGTCTTGTGCTCATACTGTGGTGAGAGCTGTCTGCAAGGCAAGACTGTAGACTGTAATTTACATAAATATTTACGTCCCGAATCAGGGTCTTGAGAAAAAAACACAATAACAAAGCTTAACCCTGAGGAACTCACCAACCAACCACATCAGACTTAACGTGTGCAAATACGATTCGCAGATATATGGCTTAAGTTTCTAAGAAACAGCCAAAAGCAGTACAGAATAACCTTCAGCAAGAAAATAACCATTCAGAAGACTTTGCTTCTCTGCTAACAATAACGCTAATAATAATGTACATAAAAATCTATAAATATCTGTTGATTTTCTGCATAAACTATCCGTTGCCTTGCCCTTGTCTTCTGTCATTACATTAATACTGAAAAGTTTGAAACTAAGACAAAACAGCTGTCCCGTATTCCCTCGAACTCAATGGTTCTTTCAGTGATATCAATTCAAAATCTGATTTGAAAGTAATCAAATCCTTGCAAAATCGACACTTGAAGATAATCCGTAGGGGTTTCTTGAACCCTTACTGCAAAAAGAGGTAGTCTTCGTAGCCCGATTTCTTAGTGGATAACATGTTGTGGCATTTGAAATGATGAGTGCTTAGTTTGGTTAGTCTTAGTGAGAACACTATTACTGAAGGAGTATGTAGTCACGTCTATCTGAGGAGTTCAAATGTTGATGAAACAGGCATCTAGGATTTTACAACTAGCCATTATTAACAAGGTGCTAGCAGTTAAACTAATTAAAAGACATTTTATTTGTCTCAAAAGTGGGAAGCAGAATTTAATGAAGTTTTTGAACCTGAAATTTTGAGTCTTCATATCTTAGAGATCATCTTGTGAGTGCCCCCCCATACGTAATTGTAGAGTTACACTGCTTCGGAATTCGTTCTGTACAAAAGTTGAAACTAAGTAGAATGTTAAATACCTTTAACTGCTTATTTTCTCTGATCTCTCCTGGTTTTCCCACATCATATTAATTTCTGGAAGCATATTTCGTTTTACCTTCTACTCAAGTAAGTTAAGACACTCTGGTACTACTCAGTCTCTCCTTTTACAACTTATTAATTCCTTTCTTCCACCTATTCTTCTTTACTCTTTACCCACCTCAATCTACCCTGAACTACTTAAGAAATATTTAATTGAATTTTAGATTTTTCCGTTGATTGAATGGGCCGAAGTGCTTGGTCTCAGGTTGGAAATGCAGGTGCATCCGGATGACGAGTCCCAAATTCGGTGAAATGCGTGTCCTGGATTCCACTGCTAGCCACCATCCACCAATTAAATTATACTTAAGAAATAGTTTGTTACATTCTGAAGAGAATTAAAAACTGTCAGTAAGGTGATGGGAGGGGTTTTGGCAAACCAACTTGTTAATACTGTTGTAGATAGACACCTGAATTTAAGCAGGAAATTAGTGAAAAGTATCTTGTAGGACTCTGAGCATCGTCTCCATACACAACTATCCCCTTGCATCACATCAAGTAGGACTAAAAGCAAGTGTGGAAGACTTCATATTGAAACGTTAGTGCTTAGACGAGTGAATATCAAACATTTCAGTTCAGGCATAATCTGTGAGCTATGCTGCCTGATACAGGGAGATAAATACAAAGAGGCATTTGTTTCGAAGTGTTAGTTAGACCTTTCGTATTTAGAAACGTGACCAGCATCGTTAACAAAGGGTATTCAGTTTAGATCACCACTTGACACCAATTAAGGAACCATTAAAAACCTCAGAGTACTGAATTGCTGTTTTGATCCAGCTTGTAGATCTTCGTCAGTGCGCATCTACGACTACTCCGTGGATCAAACCGGTAACAGTCGAATGACCATGAAACAACCAATCGGATCGCTGACCGTTACAAATAATAGCTTTTCACAATCTTCGTTGTAAGTTTCATCCTGTATCAGGGTTAAGGTTAGAGTAGAAATGAGATTAGGGTGAAACTTCAAACAAAGATGATGAAAATCATCCATTTGTAATCCTGGATATTTGGTTCGTTCAAGGTCATTTATTTGTTGAATATATTCTTTTCCATTGCCACCGAATCTAGGATCTTCAGATTTTGAAGATAATCCGTTGGGATAGAATCCAATAACCCATCTATTGTAACTTCCGATAATTCGAGATATATATAGCTCCATCGCCATCCAATGTCATCAGTGAGTGTTTGTCCTCACATCCCACATGGTAGACCACACCAATTGGATGAATAGAACCTCTTTCATAGATCGTTCCTTTCACCCTATCAACATTGTTTGATCCTAATCCTGTTACTTTGATTTATCGTAGTGAAAAAAAGCATCATGAATATACCAACGAACGTAATTTCGTGTAGGACGATTAGCAATGTAATCCAGGATGCAAATTCCGTCCTATTTGGCACTCGTCAGTTGAATGCACCTGCATTCCGTAGCGAGTGATGGTTTTCCTACTGAAGATCAAACCCAGTACCCATCATTTCAAATGCTAAAGTATTAAACGCTAGACCAACTGGGCTACGATAATCACCTCTTGCGCACCGACTGTCATCATTTTTCTGTTGACTTACTGGGCCGAAACGATCGACCTCTTTGGGGTCACCATCAGTCACTGATGCATGCAAGTTCATTCAAGCGACGATTCCCAAATAGGATGAAATGCGCATTCTAGATTCCACTGCTAGTCACCATCCACCAAATTACTTCAAGTCGGTCCTCATATATCGTTGAAACATCCGCACTAGGGGCAAGTATATCAACAGGGTCCAACAAGTGCAGTCCAATCAGTCAGCGATAAAATAGAAATTGAATTAAAAAATAACAAGGAAGGCGTTATATGTCGGATTGCACATAACCTGTCAGTCAGTAGAATATGCAGGCAAACAGAAGTCATCAGATCGTCGTGAAAATCTCGAATTGTGGCAGAGACATTTCGGTAGGATATAGTTATACTACTAGCTGACAAAGACAGAACAACAATAATCATGCACACATACGACTTTACAAAGAAAGCAGATGATTCAGTTAAATATATTAATGTATATCAACAGTTGATGGAAGAAACCTATTGTGGTGATTGACAATTTCTATCTCTGTATTGTTTAAGTACTTACTGTTGATTGCTAATATGTTTCATATATGAATTGCATTAGAATTCCGCTAAATACAAATTCCTGAATCCCGCCCTCTCTGTGTTTTGTTTGGATTCTTGTAATTCGGTCATCTCGAAATACTAATACTACGATTACAATAAATTACTACACCTATACAAATATGAGATAATAAAATCAAAATAAGACTAAATAAACTAAGGAAATTAGGACAATGAAATCTCGACTCTATGATAGATCAAAACTACACAAACCAGCCAAATGATCCCTTACTACCAATCGTTTTGTTATCAGGAAGACCAACATATAATCTATCAGTGATGGAACTACTGAAAATAAGGGAGTATTGGACAGCTGTTTCATTCTAGTTTGGGAATCATTGGCAATATGCACTGATATTAATCCGTTATCAACTGGTAAAAACAAATCAAATCCATATAAACCAACTATTGAAAATATAATCTATCTAAAGAACGTTTCAGAAAATTAAAATATCTCACAGAATTATGTAACCATTCTATCAGTCCTTTGATGATGTCACAGAATTATACCCTTCAACTGGTCTAAAACTATCAATGAAAACTATGCAACAGTTTCCCTGCAATGTTTCACTTGGATGGAAGTCATAGTCATTATGTGTTACAACATATTTCCATTTGGATTATTACACATAATACGAACACATAAAAGGAACACCAATGGAATCGTTCAGATCAGGGTTAACAGCTGAAACTGTTATGGAAAGATTGGAAGTATTAGCCCCACTCATAATTAAACCAAAAATCTGGAAACGTTATATTAATGGCACATTCGTAATAATTAAAAGAAGAAATGTGACTTGAAATACACCCAGGAATTAATTGCCAACCTATTTGACGACATTAGATTCACATGAGAAGACAGAATCAGACAACAGAATTCCATTCTTAGGTGTCTTACTTAATCAAGAGCAAAAATATCAGGAATTGGGAAATACAAGTATACAAAAAATTAGTGCACACACAGACTAAATACTCAACTATAGCAACAATACCACAATGACTTAGAAAAGAAATTATGTTCAGGCATTGCGTAGAAGAGTTTGAACACATTGTAGTACTCCAGTGGTGAAGAGTTTGGAAGAGAAATATATACTAATTGTCTTCAGGAAGAATGGATACCCATACAGTTTCATTAAAGAGTGTATAAACTGAAACAAAAATAACGCCAACAAGAAATCATCCTGAAAGACCACAAAGAAATCCATTCTACCATATATAATAAAGAATGTCTCTGAAATAACGACTAGAAAGCTGAAACCATTTGAAATAGACATAAAAAACAAGCTAATACAGTCACCTCATTCAATATTTTGCGGACTAAAGGATCCATTCAATGGTAAAAGAAGACAAGATCGATACCATCTGCAAGACAAATTACAAAAGCCATGATAAACACTATATTGGTCAAAGTGAACTTCCGCTTCGACTCGGAATCCAAGAACATAAATTAGCTGTGAAAAGACACGATATGTATTCTTTTATATCGATGCATGTAGACAATTGTAAACAGTAATAAAATTGGAAGAATGCAGAGATTTTAAACAGGCGAAGCACTAAAAGTGCCAGGAAATTTCCAGAGTTTGTGGGTAATACTCGGATTAATCAGCGATTTACAGACACACATTACCATAGATCAAATTTACCAACCAATAAAGAAAAATTTGCACAAAAAGAGAGTACAAATTCCAAGTCAATAAAAATGATCAATAAAAATGTAAATTAACAACCAATCATAACAATGGTTGTCAGGAAATACAATTGTGCTATCTATCGGTCATGAAGAATTCAAACAAGTTCACTTGATATTGAGGGCTGTGCTGAAGATATTGCCTAGAAGAACCATGAAAGCTTCTAAATTAAATCTGTTGCTTCAGGAAACAAAACCAAGTCTAAATCATCCGCCTCAGTTACAAATCTTCTGTATTACATTTTTGGATAATTAAGAAAATATAGAATCCTCAGAAATGTAGAGAAAAGTTAAGTTGTAAAACCATAGGCAGTCGCAAGCAAATACTCAAGACAACGAGACAAATTGATACTCTTGAGATCCATCATAAGAAGGTGAAGACAGAGAGGGAACCCGGGTGATAAAAGTTTGGTTCATCAATCAGTTAAGAATATTGACATAATAAGAACGATTCAGTACAAGTTCTAATCATCTTGTAAATTTCTACCATCTCTACAATAGAGGAAGGAGAACAATGATTGGATTATTCAGTATTTGAATTGTAAGATTTTGGAGGACAGGCTGATTAGCTGACTGACTGTTTGACGGAATCATGATCGGAAAAGTGCATCACTTCAAGTTCTTAGATTCCAAAAAGGACTCAGTAAAAATCGAGAATAAATATACAATGAAACTACTAAAATAGTTAAAAATTCACCAAAGAAGAAACTATACAATGAAGTTGTGGGAGGTTGGGACTGGACGGTGACATAAAGTTGCCTATCTTCAACCACAGGTATTTGCACTCTACCTACCACATTATATGGTATAATCTGGTGCATATTACTGAGGTTAGGCATAGAGCTTTAGATGAAGAGGATAAGTCAGTCAGTGAGGCTGTAAAACTAAATTGATTAAGGCGAATACGACACGTGCTGCTTTTCTCAAAGAACTAAGTTAACTGTCACAGGATTAGTTTGGAAAAGCGTGACGAGTAGTCCATAAAATCTCTGACTGTTGATTTGAACCACGTAGAGAATTACATAATGCCTAATTAAGGTCCTGGGGTTGCTAAGAAACAAAGGCTGGAGAGTAGTGGTGATATAGTTAAAAATTGTTCTCTGTGGCGTTGATGCATCCTGCCTGTCTTTGCAGTCTACCACTCCTAATAAGTTATCCTGGTTTTTCCATGTTCATATTCTTTCTTCCATCCATTCCTGATTATCAAAGTTCTTTTGAATTCAGGATTTCATCATGAGCTGACAGTAGTTAGAGAACCATTGGAAAACCTGGGAGTACTGGACAGCTGTTTCGTCCTAGTTTGGGACTCTTCAGCAGTACGCACCTACCGGGATTCGAACCCAGGACCTTCCGGTTACAAGGCGAGATCGTATACCATTAAGCCACTGGGACCCGATCCAATGGTCCTTGAATTCTAACTTCTGCCAATTCACGACATAGCGCGACCGCTAGCCAATGTCTTCGGCGAGTATTTGTCCTCACACCCGACCAGCTGCACCCTACTTTTGAATTCTTTTAGTTTTCTCCATTGCTATGTGTTAAATGCGGTGTGGTAACCTGGAGAGACGGACGTCTGTATAGTGTTCTGTTTTGAAACTTGGTCAGTTAGCACCAGTGATTCTTAGTTATATCACGAACTATTTCCAACCATCAGTCTTTGGAAAATCCCTCCTGGCCTATCTAATCACTATATATATATATATATGTACTTATTTGGATGTTTCAACTAACTTTGTCATTATCATCCTCTTTTCTCCTAGACTGTATATTATTATCCTGACACATGTTGATTTGATCCTTGCTATTTGTCTTTGTCACTCTTTAAACTATAGTTTGAAGGCTTCTCTTAGTGGTTGTGCGATACATTGACAGTGCGTTGTCTTGTGACTGCGATTTTGTTTGAGTGAGTCAAGATGGTTCTGACCTTAAATCGTCTGAGAGAAGTGTTTGGTGCGTGAATTCTGCCGTCAGAATTTTGATTCCAACATTCTGGAAATATTCTAGTTGATTCCAAGTACTCGTTTTGTATAGCCATCTAGCAGCACTGTCGAGATAGGTAGAATTAATAAAGAATATTCGTCTTTTTGCTATCACTGAGGCTTTTTGTGACTGTGTGTGTGTGTGTGTCTCACGGGAGTTTTGTTAGCTTTACAGTAGGACAGAGAGATCAGTTTGCTGCTCTCAGACCACAACGAGTCATTCTTGGCCGTAAGAACTACAAACCCAGTCAGATGCTTCACAGATCCTTATATGGGACAAATCAGCAGCTTACAACTTCATGGTGTCATATTTTCATCTCACCATCCCCAAAACGTTACTATTCTATAATTATATTCCAGATAATATTGCTCGGCAAAGGAAATCGGTGGTTTGGTATCCATGATATATGTCCCTGCCATCAATATAGATTTTACTCCGCCGCCTGGTCATCTGAATCCTAAACATAACCCAATACACGTTGGCTGAAATATTGCCAAATTGAAGTGGTCTGAATCACCAGTAGGCCGAGCGTTTTGTATTGACCCCATTAGCTGTGTGCTGCGGTTTGGTAATTTGATTGAACAATAGTTACTAGTGTGATGTTTCGACTCCTTTCTTTGGAGCAGACTGAATTCCACCAATCAGGTTTGAAATATGGCCACCATTGTAGGTAGCTCGCCATTACGATGTACATTGATTTGATTTTATTAGATGGTTGGAGGCAGCCGCAGGAAGCCTTGACCAAACCTAGGTCTAGTGCTAGTTGGCACTCACCAGTCGTCAAGGCTTATCTGCAGCCTTGAAGGAACACTCGTGTCTCTTCTGAGATTTGAACTCGCGTCACCCAATGCTGCCTGCAGTTAGAAACGTTACCGCTGAGCTTTCTGAACTCGCGAGTGACCTCCTGTAGGACTGTATTTGATACTTTGATTGGACTCTAGACACATTCCATTAGTTACTGGTGTGTTACTAGTTCCAAGGCTTTCTGACGATGACCTTCAACCATCTAGTATCATCAAATCAATGAGCTCCGGTTTGACTGACTTCAGGGAGCTAAACCATTTCACCAATCGGAAGTGATGCTTTGACCTACAGCTTCTCTGAGTTCGCCACTTAGACTTCTGTAGTCGCCTGTCATTAGTCTGATGTACTGACAACTTCACAGATACTGATATATTGCAAATATTCCAGCCTACAATATTATTAATGTTCCCTTAGGTTCTGAGTGGAACATAAGACTTCGACAGAACACCTCAACATTTTTTTCTATTCTCTGCAGTCCTCTTTAGCCGGTCCCACAATTCCTCATCGGCTTACATCTCTTCTACATATGATCTCCTTTACATAAGTCTTGAAGCAATGCCCCACTTGTCACTCGTTTACTATTGACTTTCGACTGAAGCGGTAGCTTGATGAGTGTGTCCGACAATAACTTTGTGAAATTGTCGTGTTATTCATACCAACAAAAGAAATAAACCAACTTATCGATATTAAAGAAAATAAGTACCAGTTGCCTACCTGTGATGTATAACTTGTCTGTATTTCAATATCCTTGAATATCTTTGATGTTTCCTGCAGATCTGATTGTGTACCTCTTGATTTTTTACCAAGATAGGGATAGACATCACTGGATGACATTGATTCAGAAGTCTGTATACTTTTCATCAAAGATATTTCATCTAATTGGCATGCTTGTCCTTCAAGACTGACACCAATATCCCCCTCATGATTTGACAATGTTTCAGGGTGTTGATGTACTAACTGCTTCATATTAGACAAAGATATTTCATCTAGTATACAATCTGTGTTACTTTCACTGAGATTAGTGAAGGCATTCTGTGAATCGTAAGCTACTACTTCATTTTCCATATTTGTAGATATCAACTGCCTTGTAGGCTTTTGCATAATCGATTGATTTCTCAATGTTATCCCTTGTATTTCATTATCAGTAGTAGTACATTGAGTATCCGCTTCACAGTATTTTGTATCCCCAAGAAAATTATAACTTGAATCAATCTCTACACAATCAAATAATTTCTGATTCACTAGTTCCCTATGATTACTTATCCTTGTTATTTTATCACCAATACCCTCATTGTTTGGTAACTTCTCCGAAGAGTTGATTGTATTGATCGAATCACATTTTGGTGGTTGAATAAAGCTCAATTGATTGTCTGACAACGAAGGTTGAACACCTTCATCATCATCATCACCATAACTTTGTATTTTATCTTGATTGTTATCAAAGGAGTACATGGCAAAATCATTTTTATATACAGTCACTATCTTTTCATTAATGAACTCTTCACAAGAATGATTACTATTCACTCGATTCAATAATTCTCTACTGATTGCCTTACATGGTACAGCTCGTACACATGATAATTGCTCATGTATACTTTCATCCGGTTGCTGGGATTCACAATACTCACTATGCGCTGAGGATAACCTACCACCACGTAAATTCATTCTAATCTCTGTTATATAACGTTTCGTGGTATCATTTATTCTAGTTGTTGTATCTATTATGCACAATTTATCATTTTTTGAGTCTTTCGACTCTATATTCCCTTGAAGAGTACACCAACACGATATATGATCACAACATTTCAAATACATGATTTGTGATTGGATAGATGAATTTTCAGAGTTTAAATTTGGTGATCTTAGTGTACAACTATTACAGTATGACGTCGACGTTGATGATGATGATGATGATGGACAACCTAGTAGAGAATCTCTAACATCACCAACAGTAGATGAACTTTGAACAATTGAATTTATGTTCTTATTGTTGACATTACTTTCGTGTAAACTTCCTGGAGTACTATCAAATCTTAAAATTTCACATAATTTAGTGCCATACTTTTCAATATGTTCAATATTGCTTAACACTTTTGGTACATTATTATTATTATTACTATTACTCCAAGAATGTTTGACTTTTTGATTGATTTCAAATTGACTTATTTGTCTACCTGTTTCACAACAACAACAACAGCAAACATAACTTTCATTATTTTCACTATATTGACGACAATTCATTTCATGACATCCTTGAACATTGGACTGTTCCTTTTGTTTTATTAAATTCTTACATTCTTCTGGCGTTTTATTTGATTTAATTAATTTGTTGTTTAATAAATTATCGCAAGGAATAAATACTTTCTTTTCATTATTATTTGTTACACTTAAACATTTTATATTCTCATGACTTGGTGATAATTCTTTGAACATATTGTATTAAGATCCATATTTTAGACATTTTTATTGAAAATTATATTAGTAATAATAATAATAAATAAGATTATGTAATCTGAATAACGGAAATGAAAAAAGCATGTCTCATTTTTCTCTTCTTAACTGAGAAGTCACAGTTTAATAATAATAGTAATAATGAAGACCTAGATTAAATGACTTTATTTTAAAAATCAATAATTTAGAGTATCGATCAATAGCTAATATAAATGTGATTACTGTATAGTATATATGCATGTGTGTATGTGATTAAAACAAAATAGGTTCAACATGTTCAATGTTTAAGCGGTAATTCGAATTTCCTGTATAATGTATAGTATTGTAAAGATTGAGAAATAAAGTTTTACAACTCTGAATGAACTTGTGATTATAACATTTTTATTTTGTTGAATTTATTAAACATCTACAAGGTTTTATTTTTATACTGTTTTGATAATATTCGATCTGGCGTTATAAGGTTGAACTCTGTTCAAAACTGACAGTTTTTTTTGAAGAAAAATGACAGTAAGTTATAATATTTTATAAAATATGAATTAGTAGTTTGAGTGTCCAGTAATTATTACAAGGTTTGTGTGTGTGTGTGCGTACGCCTGTGCGCTTGCTTGCAATGAGTCAGGTTTCATTTATTAATATTTATGTATACGTGGAAGTTCCTTTTTTGTAGGTAGTTCGGTTATAAAACTGGGACGATTAAGAGGTCTATTTATGCAATGATTGAAGATTGAAGTTGAAGAAGAATGTGGATGACTGTAGTCGAGGTATGCGAACGTATTGATGACCTTAAAAGCATACTATTTGTTAGACGATGGAACCTACAATTATTTTAGGGTCACTACCAAAGAAATGAGGTGCAAATGTCGTCAAGATATCGTTTTCACGTATTCTGTGGAGAATGTGTTGATGGATCTTTAGGGTTACGATTAGGTTGAGTGTTAGGATTAAGATTGGGATCAGGGTTAAGGTTAAGATCAGGGTTAGGTTAGATATTGGTGTTTGGATCAGGGTTACGTTGATTCATTTTTTAAAACAAGTAACTTATGAAATCCTACGTCATGTGACAGAGAAAGCTGATTAAAATCAAAGAATTGGTTGGATGATTTCATCATGAGCTGATATCAGTTAGAGAAACATTGGAAAACAAGCTGGGAGTACTGGATAGCTGTTTCGTCCACCTGATCTGGGACTGTTCTACATCAGTATGCACCCACCACCAGGGGTTCAACCCCAGAACCACTCAATTACAAGGCGGGTAGTTCGTAGACCATTAAGCCAGTGGGAACCGATCCAATGACCAGCCCATGGATTCCAACTACTGCCCATTCATTATTAAGCGTTACCACTTCGCAATGTTTTCTTCGATGAGTAAATGCCTCACCTTCATCCTGCTGTACCCTATTGGTCACGACTTGCCACTAGAACCTTGGTAACTGCCAGGTTCGAGCCTCAGTGGCTGCGTACGGCTGAAGGGTCCCAAATCAGGATGAAACAGCTGTCCAGTACACTGATGAGAATACATATAGGAATAGCAAACTAATTGGGTTGCAGATCCCAAAATTATACGGGTGTGTTTGAAATACACAAACCAGGAGCGTCCTTGAGACCTATACTAGCAATGATAAATTCACCATAGCATAAATTAGCATAGTGGCTATGTGAATTATTGCAGCTTTTGTGAAAACGTTTTTGAAACGTACATAGTTTCTGATTCATTTCAGGTTGTCAAGAAAATTAACAGTGCCAGTGTATCTGATAAGCGCTTTGTCTCTTTTGATGTTACTTACCCATTCAAAAATGCGCCGGTTGTTGAGACTTCTGATTTTATACGTAAAAAAGTTGAAGACACACCAATTCCAACATCGGAATTAAGAAAATCGTTGCTTTTTTGCACTAAAAATGTCCAGCTTTAATTCGATTGGTGTCTGTTCCATCTGAATGATGATGTCAAAACGAAAAGACCCTTGAGACCACGTTTTGCAGACTTATGCTTGTCAGGCCTAGAAACCGGTATTTTGCAGCAACATATACAAGAAATGGATGTCTACCTAAGATATGTTGATGGTATTTTTATTGTCTGTGAAAGTAGATCAAAAGCTGAAGACATGTTGATAAAATTCACCTCATGTCATTTGAATCTCACCTTCACAACGGAACACAAGGATAGTGGTATTATTAAATTCCCAGACGTTTCTTTAGGTGAAAAGGACTGATAACACAATCGAAAGATCTATATTTGGAAGGTCTTTATGGACAGGACAGTACATATATTTCAAAAGTTTTGTTTCAATGCAGTATAAAAAGAACTCAGTCAAAACACTGTTCAATAGAGAACAGAAAATTTCTTCTGACAGTGCAACTGAACATAAAATAAAAGCTCTGAAGGATATTTTTATCTAAGAATGGATATCCTGAGAAGTTTATTAATAAATACTGTAAAGAAATGAGCCCTAGTGAAAAAATTCAGATAGTTCCAAAGAAAGCGTTATTCATCAATTTACCGTCCAAAGGAGATAATATACGAGACATGGGCAGAAAAAGACTCGACAAACCTATATGTGGTTCTACTGGGAAGTCATCACCAGAAGGGTGCGAAAAGTTAGGTGTGAGGACAAATATTCCCCGAAGACATTGGCTAGGGGTGGCGCTATATCGTGAACTGGCAGAAGTTAGAATTCATGGACTGGCCGTTGGATCGGATCCCAATGGCTTAATGGTATACGAGCTCGCCTTGTAACCAGAAGGTCCTGGATTCGAACCTTTGTGGTGTGCTGATGAAAAGTCCCAAACTAGGACGAAACAGCTGTCCAGTACTCCTTGCGGGTTATCCAATAGTTCTCTAACTGATGCAGCTCATGATGAAATCCTATAAACAAACATTTATTTCCGAATATGAATTTAAAACAAGCAACAAAGGTTAATAAAGTAGGATTTGATGAATTCACTAATTTTTGGTAGAACCCTTCTTAGCTGAATACTCTACATACAGGGATATATAAATACCTTTGGAAATACATTGGGAGATATAAGACTGATAAGCAAATGAATGACGTTGAGTCAATCATGCAAACGACAACTGTGAATATTTTTCAAAACATGTTCAAATCGATTAGGGGAAAGGAGCATAAGCGATTAAGATAAAATGCATTACGCTTCAACTACATCACTTAGATAAACAATTACTCATCAGAGACAGAATTTAAATATATCAGGAATTGAGAACTGAATAATATTAGTGCTAGTAACAATGATAATAATATTGAAACGAGTTAACATATTGCTGCTGATAAAGGATAGTTTTAAATGAATCAGGAATGATAATAACAGGTAGAATAAAGTATTAATAACAGTAACAGTTAATACGTAAAACATATAACTATGGTAGATTCAGAATAAGTGTCCAAGGCTTCCTGCTGATTGCCTCTAACCATCTAATATCATCAAATCAATCTGCGCCGTGATGGCGAGCTACCTAGAATGGTGGCCACACTGCAAACCTGACTGACAAAATTCATTCTGCACTCAACAAACAATCAAAGCATGGCACCATTTTATCATGCAAGCACTAGTGTTTTTACTTTATTCAAATTGACATAAATTAACAGATAAGGCTCTTTTCATAACTTTCAACCAAATCACGAAGTTAAATGTTAAACTGTGAAACTTGGTTAATTAATCTTAAGTTGTACGAAATCCTAAGGTATGAGCAGCTTTCAGAAAGGGTTATTAAACGTGTAAGTCTTTAAAATGTGGAATATGCTATGATATAGGATGGATATCTACGCTTATTCATGGTAAACGCCTAGAAAAGACGACAGAAAAATCCACTGAAGTCAAATTTTAAGCGTCTTTATGTTTTAAAACAAGCAATAAAGGGGTTAATAAAGCAGGATGATTTAATGAATTCATCAAATTTCGGTAGAACTCCTCGTCAGCTGAATACTCTACATACACGGATATATATACACACTATTGAAATTACATTGGGAGATATAAGACTGATAAGTAAGCAAACTACATTGAATTAGTCATGCAGAAAGACACGTGCGAATGTTCTCCAGGTCATTTTCGAATAAATAAATGAGAGGAGAGGGAATATGAGAGATCAGAATTAAGATAAATTGCATTACGCTTCAATTGCATCACTTAGATAAACAATTAGTCATTAGGAAATATAACAAGAATTGCAAACATAGCAATATCAATGGTAATAATTATAATAATAATAATAAAAATAATAATAATGCTGAAGTGAATTAAGATAATCCTACTGATAAAAGATAGTTTTAAGTGAATCAAGAATAATAATAATTTAAACGTATTGCCGTGGCAGATTCAGAGTGACAGCCATCTCCTTTTGTACACAGAGACCTGGTTTACAAACTCGAATTGCACAAGTCTCCATAATTACTAGCATCTTCTTACTTCTCTGTCTGCTGACAATAACAGTGACTGACTTGACAGTGTAGGATATTATGTCCATAGTCGACAAGATGCTTTGTTATTGCACAATTTAGCACCTCGGAATTCAGCTGTTTTCATCCACTTTGACCGGAGTAAAGTGAACCTTCTACGACACCAAAATAAACACCATGTGGAAACTTAAAGAATGCAAGAGTGAACCTTTATACGCATGTCAGTCAATCAAAACTTCAATAAAAGCTCACGTAGACTCAGAGGGCCATTGTTTTTTTTTATTCTTTTACGTTCCCAGTGGAACTTAGAGCTTCAAGCTGGAGACCTGAAGTTTCAGTAGCAGTGGTATTTATTTTTATGGGATGCGGTTGCTAGCCTCATGCCCAACCTTCCAACTTTACCAATCTTATCACTGGTTTAGCGAAGGATAGGAATACGTCAGTCAGAGCTTGAACCTCGAACCACACACATGGTCGGTAAGCATTCTACTGCTGTGCAACCGGTGCACCGTATTACAGTATACCTAAATCCGAAAGCAACTAAGCTATAGTTGTTTAAAAGTCAGTCGA